GAAAATTTCAAGATCAATGCAGAATTTTCAAAATAAATTAAAAGAAAATGTTGACGGGATGAGAAAATTCCGAAACGAAAAGAAAAAAGCTAATTCAGAGAATGTGTGTCCCCCGCTTAAGGAAAAAAGAAAAGCATGCGCAGATCGGGGGGGGGGGGGGGGGTCGGACCCCCTGGTTTTGCAGAGTTATTAAATGTATATACTACAGCAAATAAAGAATGCCAATATGGATATATAGATTTGATTGCTTATTGCTTATTCTTTAAAATGTGCACAGAAAATAAAATATTTATCACACTGTAATACTGATTTTATGAGGAGATTTGTACACACCAGACCTCATAACTTCTTCATTTCATATGTTGAATACAATCATTTAGTAGATTATAAAAACATTTCAAAAAAAGTACGGGATCGCCCGAGATTTGTGCCCGGGGCCTCTCACATCCATAGCGAGAATGATACACCTAGACCAAAGAGGTGATACAAATTCAAATAGCAGAGTCACATAATATATATAAATGTACTTATTCACGTTCGATATTGTCAAAAGGATGACTGCACTTAAGGACATGCGAAAATTACGACAAAATAAACTTTCAAAACAAGCATTTTTCTTTTAATTGCAGGAATGGTCAACATGTAATCTACAACTTTACGTAATTACATTAAATAAAAGTATGTATTTACGAAGTACGAAGCTGTTTTCAAAGGTGGGGGTCATCACAAGATCTTGAATCTCCTTACGATAATGAGGACGCCCACTTTTTCACTGACTTTGTACATAGTCAGCGCATGTTTGTCTATTGTTATACGTTTAACAGTAGTTGTATATTTGCATAAATAATAATATGTCAAAAGGAGACTAATAGACAAACATGCGCCCATGGTTTAAAAGAGGAAAAACTGCTTCTTCTTACATTCGCTCTCACTTTTGTAACCAAGGGCTACGGCGTGTTGAATATTATAATTCACCACGTGATGTCCTACCTTAGGTAACTCTGTGAATACTAAATTCCGTCACGTGACTTGTAAGATAGCATGTTTTGTGCAAACTAGGACACTCTTCTCGAACACGTTGAATTGTCAGGCATCGATTCAAAATATTCTTTACTTATATGTACGTGCTTGTTAATTTCGTTTTGAAACCTTTGGAAATACTATAGTAGTGTACTTGTGCCATTAAGGATAAAGAGAGAGATGGGAAAGAGTGATCACGTATTTTAACACATGTCATTGTTATTTATCTAGTCTAATTTTAGAGACATTCTTACAATGTTAGCTCCATCTCTCATGCATACCTAATGTTTAATCAAGGGCAGGTAAGTGTAAAATCTCTATATTTGGAAAGGAGTAGGGACAAAAAACATAGAATTATTCGATTGTATCACAGTCTAAAATCATTTTAACATTTAAATTTGGTGTCAAATTGATAGAATTCCATTGTAAATATACAAAAGTGAAATAAGGTTAAGATATAAAAGCAGCAGAAGCGACGGGAAAAGACTCAAAACCCAGTGTTAAGTGCAGTTATCCTTTACACAGCACATGGTGTCTAATTTAGCCATTATTAAACAGTGCTAATAGAAAGCTGATGTAAGTATTATTTAGAGAACAAGACAGGTACTGTATCGTAGATACAAATTTGGGGTGGACGAGTGCGTAGCACGAGTCTCCACGAGACAGTATGTATTGACCTTTGACCTTTTGACCTCAAAATCAATAGTGGGTCTTCTTTAGACCACAGGGAGTTGTTATGTAAAATTTTATTGCAAAAGCTAAAAGGCCTCTCGAGATATCATGTACCAACTCCCTGTGGCCTAAGGAAGACCCCTATTGATTTTGTGATCAAAAGGTCAAAGTTCAAGGTCGTAAATTTATACATTCTGTGTGTGTGTAACACTTTCGTTTACGGGCGATATCTCAGGAAGCTTTTGAGCTTTTGCAATGAAATTTTATACCATAACTCCTTGCACAGTTTTTAGCACAGGGGAATATGGAGAGTTATAACATATAATACAGGTTGTCGGCGGACATCTTATCTAACAAGATGTGTTTGTGAACCACTGATACCCCCGTATGGCAACTTATTAAAAAAAAGGCTAAAATTTCTGAAGTGCAAATCAAATATGTTGGTATCCAAAGTAAGGTTTTGTCTCGAGGAATATACCTGTGAAATATGAAAGCCGAAGCACAAATCGTTCAAAAGTTGTGACAAGGGTTAAAGTTTTTCAAAAGTAGATCAGACTCTAAGGTCAAGGTCTATGAATTACAATTGTTGGTATCCAAAGGAAGGTCTTGTTTACTTATGTGAAGTATGAAAGCCCTAGCACCAATCGTTCAAAAGTTATGGCCAAGGTTAAAGTTTTCCAGAAGTAGGTAAAACTCAAAGGTCAAGGTCAAAGGGTCAAAGTTGTTGGTATCCAAAGGAAGGCCTTGTCAAAAAGATTTCATGTGTGAAGTATGAAAGCCCTAGCACCAACTGTTCAAAACATATGACCAAGGTTAAAGTTTTCCAAAAGTAGGTCAAACTACAAGGTCAAGGTCAAAGGGTCAAAGTTGTTTGTATGCAAAGGAAGGTCTTGTTTCAAGGATTACACATCTGAAGTATGAAAGCCCTAGCACTAACCGTTCAAAAGTTATGGCCAAGGTTAAAGTTTAACCTTGCCCATAACTTTTGATTGATTGGAGCTATGGCTTTCATATTTCAAATGTATATTCCTTTTGACAAGACCTTTTTTTGGGTACAACCATATTTGACCTTTTGACCTTGACCTTGGAGTTTGAGCCACTTTTGCAAAATTTTACCAAACATTAACCTTGGCCATAACTTTTGAAGAATTAGTGCTAGGGCTTTCATACTTCACATGTGTAATCCTTGTGACAAGACGTTCCTTAGGATATCAACAACTTTGACCTTTTGACGTTGACCTAGGAGTTTGACCTACTTTTTGAAAACTTTAACCTTGGCCATAATTTTAGAAAGGTTAGTGCTAGGGCTTTCATACTTCACGTATATAATCCTTGTGACAAGACCTTTCTTTGGATACCAACAACTTTGACCCTTTGACCTTGACCTTGGAGTGTGACCTACTTTTGGAAAACTTAACCCTTGGTCATAACTTTTGAATGATTGGTGCTTCAGCTTTCATATTTCAACTGTGTATTTCTTGGGAGAAGTCCTTTCCTTGGGCACTATTAATTTTGACCATTTGACCTTGACCTTAATGTTTGACTTACTTTTGAAAAACTTTATCCTTTTAAATATCTATTCAATGGTTGCTGCTAGGCCTTTCGTATTTCAAAGGTTTATTCCTCGAGACAAGACTTTACTTTGGGTACCAACATATTTGATTTGCATTTGAGAAAGTTTAACCTTTGCTATGTTGCCATGCGGGGGTATCAGTGTTTCACAAACACATCTTGTTTTTTTAATTTTTTTCTTTAATTTACAAAATGATAGTATTCAACATATGAAATGGAAAAGTTATGACGTCTGGCGTGTACAAACTTCTCATAAAATCATTATTACAGTGTGATAAATATTCTATATAAAAAAAACCTTCTAAATACATATTAAAGAATAAGCAATCAAATCTTTATATCCATATTGGCATTTTTTATTTGCTTCAATATACATGTATACATTTAACAATTCTGCAAATCCGGGGGGGGGGGGGTTCCGAATCCTAGAACTGCGCATGCTCTTCTTTTTCCCCTAAGCGGGGGACACAAATTTTCTGAATTAGCTTGTAACGTTTTATTAGTCCCCTACCGGTGAAACCGGAGGGGACTATAGGTTTCCTCTGAGTCTGTCCGTCCGTCCGTCTGTCTAGCTGTCTGTCTGTCTGTCTGTCCGTCTGTCCCTCTGTCAGTCTGTCCCACTTGGTTTTCCGCACTTTTCTTCTAAACGCGTGCAGATATTGAGCTGATTTGTGGTATGTGAGTGTATCTTGATAAGTTACAGATCAAGTTTGCATTTCGTTCCGCTTCAATGATTTTTGACGGAATTACGACCTTTTCAATTTTTCAGGGTTTTCCGCACTTTTTTTCTAAACGCTTGCAGCTATTGAGCTGATTTCTGGTATGTGACTTTATCATGATGAGTTATAGATTAAGTTTCCATTTCGTTTCGTTTCATTGATTTTTGACGGAATTATGGCATTTTCAATTTTTAACGGGAACCAGATTACACTTGCCGTTAGGGGACTAGTATTGCGAATGCAATACTCTCAGAATGCTTGTTTACAACAACTGCTAACTAAATAGCGTTTTATTTACCCTTTATTGCCTGTTCTTCTTTTGTAAGGCTTTATTTTCACTGTTTTACTCGTGTCTTTCCCAAAATAGAAAAAAAATGATGATTTTTTTTTTTCATATTTTAGTTCAGGAAAATCGTGACTCTTGAACGTGTTATATATGACGTTACACTAAATCTAAACAAAAACAAGTTTAATTAATAGTCTTGGCATATTTATCCAGCTTGGTGCATGCGATGAACAGTGTACAGTGACAGATGCGGGTTTAAATGTTTGCTCCTGACATAGTTTGCATTGTATATAATACATGCACTCTATCACTTCCAAGGAGAAAAAAAAAAATTCCAACGACCTACATGTACCTAGCACATGCAGGATCAGCGGGACCCCCCCCCCCCCCCCCCTCGGATTTTGATATTAGAATTTATTTATCAAAATGCAATGTAGGTCGAATTAAATTCTTTCTCTGAGTTAAGCATTCATTATGCAATATTCCTTCCCTTTCAGATTTATGTATCTCTAATCCCTTGCAATTTTAGAATGTGTGAAATCACACAACATGACAGTATACTAGAGGGATTATCCACTGGTTTAATAGGAGTCGGTCATTCTCCTCAATTCACACACTGTATTACAATGTAGATTTTATATACAAGATACCTCCTTAGAGGAAGCGAAGCATTTAAACTCTTTGTTAGGTCTTCCAGACACAAGTTTGCATGATCGAAAAACTCCACGGCTTATATACATGTTATATTTATATTATTCAGTACTTTGATTTTGTGCTTCACACGGATATTTTTAAACTGGAGTAGTGCCAGTTTTTCCAAACAGGTATGTCTTGCAAACTTATTTTTTTTCCGTGAACGGTGCATTTCATGTTTGTAGTATATACATCAGGGTTTTTATTTTCTTAACATCATTATTATAGATTTTTTTTTTCTTTAAATGTCCGGGGATCTGAGGCCGCCGGGTTAATATGTGTGTAAACGGATACCAGATCTCTGAGTTTTGAATGTAAGGGACACACGTTTTATTATTAATCTTGATCAAATTTTAACTTTTTATGTAGAGACTGTCGATTCTTATGTAGAAAAGGATATAAAAACTAGGGTAGAACGAAATTTATTTGCTGTCCAGTAAATAATCTACACATGTCCTTTAAACTTTTGTCATTTTAAACGTGCAGATCACGTTTAATAAAGTGCTTGATTTTTCAATGTCTTTCGGTGTTTTAATATAGTGGACAGTCCCAAACTGCTGGAAATGCTTACAAAGTATATACATGTAGATCTTGAAAGTGACTTCAAAGCTCTATGTGTGTTTCTATCGTGTTTATTTACTACAGACAAAAATGTAACAGATTTATTGGGCTCTTGGCCATAAAATATTAAAAGTACAAAAGTTATCTCTACACATGCATATATATACAATGTATATTCAAATGCATTCTCGCTTAATCGACTATTTAATGAGACGTATTTATTTACAAAGAGCCTACTTATTGATAGATTCAATATTAAGATATGAACTATAGCTCTGATGCAAACACGCAACTGTCATGAAAACGCATAAATTAATCTGACGATAAATACTTACTCCCGGTGGCATATTTACAGTGAAATATAACTAGATGAAAGCAACATGACCTGCAATTTTTATGTCGGAATTATTTTCATTGTGTAAAAATTTGGACTTAATGTTTCAATGACCAAAAAAAAAAACTGTTGGAAAAACTTTTTAGTGGCTCTTTCGCTATAGTCGTCCAACACAAAAATTGAGTTCTTAAAAAAGATGACTTTTTGGGGACAACTTGAAGAGGATGCTTCCCTTATTCTACAGTACAACCTTACTCACAAAACCAATACCTTACTAATATTATAAAGTCCGTTAGCTGAATTAGACGAGTCTCTAGACCTCGTATGGTGAACACGCAGTCAACTCGTGATGTGCATCATACAGATACGCACTGTGGCATCATAAAGATGGGGTCCCCCCTCCCCCACTTTTTTCCCAAATAAAACGTTTTTTTAGTGAATGTTCATTAAATGCTCCTTGAAAGGCTGCTTACCCCCCCCCTCCCGCTCTTTGTTTCAGTATATATATTGTAGTAATGTATTAGTAAAATTTCGTTGTGAAAAAGTTGGAACATCCCTCCCGAAGGAAATTTATAGTTTTTTCGATTTTTTTTTTTTTTTTTTTTTTTTTTTTTTTTTTTTGTTCTACGTGCCTCTTTTAGAATATGTTATATGCACTGCTGGGTTTGTTTTTCACTAACCTCGTATACTTGCTGATCAGTAAACTTAGAATTTCTATAAACGAGTTTGTAAAGAATCTGAAACTGGGTCATGCACATTGCAGGAAAAACAAACATACTTTTTCACGGCTTGTGCACGTCCTACCTGAATTATTTAGTTTTCTAAGTTCAAATGTTTTATACTTTTATTTAAATGTCTTTTTTGAAAGAATTCAACAATTTTTCAATGCCATTTGAGCTCTTCTTTTTAGTGCATATCTATATCAGACTTTTCGTAATACTCTCGGGAGTTTTAATATCTAATCACTTCAATAATGTCACTGGTTGCCTCCGTTCCATTTTTTCTCAGCTCCGTAATGAACCCGAATGTTTACTTTTCTCTATTTCTGGCTAACCTTTGCCAGAGGCTCTTGTAATCTTACCTGAACAAAGCTTCTCGACTTTCAGTTGTATTTTAACCTATTCTGATTTCAATAGACAATTTCATTGAATTAACCTTGGCGAAGTCCAAACTGTTTTGACAGAAACCAAAACTGACTATTGGGTTTGGCTGATACTTGCACGCAGAGTATAGTACCTTTTATTGTGTAATCTAAGCATTCGATAGCTTTACTTCTAATCTGCCTGTACTTACAGTAACTATTAAGCGTATATCTACACATGTGGGATTGTATAATATTCTTAACGAACATTGGACGGTCACAATATTCAGAATTATTCCTATCCAATTGCAAGCCTCTTCTCGACTATACGTACATGTAACCCCCCCCCCCCCCCCCCGAACATGAATCTGTTTCACTACAATTCTCCGAAGTTATTTTCGACTTTTTTTATTTCAATTTTCCCAGACAAAATTTCAAATGATAAATTATTTAGATTAGAAATATATTACTTTTATAGTGAGAAAATGGATAATTGGAATTATTATGCCAGGATTACTGAATTACATTTAAATAATTCACTGACATCTTCTTGTTTCTTCATACAAATTTCATGCTAATAAATGTACATGCTATATATATATATATATATATATATATATATATATATATACGAATAACATGAAGTTCAAGTGATTTATATTAATGATTTCTTCACAATGAATTTCTACCTTTTGTAATTCTGGCCTCTTTGTTCTTAAAATGATTTTTTTTTAATTTAACAATATTTGGTCTTTCGGGAAAAAAACAGTAGATAAACATATTTTGATCTTACTTCAGCTAAGAAATAAGAGTATATACATCCTTTCTTCTCGAGGAGTAGAATTCCTACTTACATTTCAAATACTTCGGTTCGCTCTTATCAAGTCTAAAGTAAAGTTGAAAATTTCAACAGAAGGTTAACAAATATTTTTGTCATTCTTGTTACTTTGGTCTGAATATTTTAATCAACAAGTATTTTATTTTCAATGATCATTGCTTAGTGTATATACACGTATTTTATGATATACATGAATCTTTGTGTTGCCTATATTACAAGCAACATTCATCAAAAATATTTAACAAAAGTGGTCCAGGGCAGATAATGCAAAGACATATAGGTATAGTTAATCTTTTTAAGTGGCAATCATTTACTAAACTCTTTTATGTTAGTCAAAAGCGAAATTCGCCTAGCCTAGGCTTCCACGCACTTCTCCACGAAGTTTACATCGTTGATTATTTTGAGTGAAGTCCCTTTGCTTCACACCCATTTATAACGCAATGTTGCGCACTTTTTTTTTTTTTAAATATAATTTCTCTGAATATATACATATGTATTTACTCGCTTTGTAAAATTGTTCTTTTTGTGTAATGACTGAAATATCTAAAAAAAAAAAAAAAAAAAAAAAAAAAAAAAAAAAAAAAAAAAAAAAGCCCAGAAGGCTCATTCGAGATTCGAGTTTCGAACTACGAGATTCGAAATTCGAGATTCAAGATCCAAACTTACCAGTCAAAAGGCGGTTTAAGATTCAATTACTTCCCTTTGCTAAGTTTTGACCTTCAAGAAATCGTTGAATATATTCAAACCGAAGAAGTCATTTGATTATTTTACAATGCAATAAAGTTGTAGTGTGCAATAAAACAAATGACTATAGCGATTAATAATAATTTTATTAATTAAGTTATACGGGTTTCAAAGTGGATATAGTTTGTGACAAGGTATTAGAAAGTGACCAGTGACTAGTAAGGGTTTTCAAAGTTAAGTGTGCAATAAAACAAGTTACTAGCGATTAATGATAATTAGTAATACGGGTTTCAAAGGGTTCAACGGGTTTATCGGTAAAAAATATAAGGGGGAATTGGGGGGGGGGGGGAGACATGCCCAGGGTCCTATGGCTATGTTGTTTATTTTTTATTATAACGGTTGACAAATGTTCGGTTATCAACATTCAGTGTCAATTTTGCAATGCATGGGCAGAATAATTATATGATCGAAATTATTTATAAGGAAACCGCTCGGGTCTCGCAAGATACATAACCAATCAATACACAAGTTCCAATAAATGATTTAATGGCCATAGAGAAAAAAGATATAGAATTATTTAATAATGATAAAAAATTAATTATTTTAACAAAACTATGGACACTCTATACACCTTTAGGACTAAAGGATCACGTATTATAATTGCTTAGTTCATGTATGCCTTTTTAGTGTACCAGGAAATCTTGAAAGACATCGTAGTAGTGATAAAGAAAAATCGCGTCTGCTTTCCCAGTGGCGTATATATTCCATATGTTGCCTACACATCATTTTCATGATGTATAAAATATTTATTTATACATTTATTTGGTTGAAATTGGAGGAAAGTTGATCATAAATCTTATTTTTTAACCAATTATTAGAATATTTTTTCATCAAATGCAATAAAAAGTATTTCTAGCAATCCACACTTTTATTCCTATCCAATTTTTTACAGCATACAAAACTTCTGATTTAAATCTAAAATTGAAATGTTACCTTGAAGTCGATATCAGATTATTAAAAAATGAAAGCAACAGGAGTCTACGATTAGGACAGGGAATAGAAATTAGGAAATATGTTTGGGTTAATAGGAAGTAAAACAAAAACATTTTAAAAATTATATTTAGATTATTCAGTAAAGAAGTTTCCATAATTTTCAATCAGTGTGTAAGGATTTTAAAATTTCTCAATTTTATTACGAGTGGTCATGAAGACTTTAATTTGTATATAATAAAAATATGTTTAAACAGGTCTGGACGATTTCGAAATATGGAAGTCAAGAACGATAACTGAAAGTTGCTATAAATAATACATCATATGCATGTAAATATTTTTTCTGCCCAATCAGAGAACAGCACTTTTACACACCCCAAAACATATTTCAAAGGAACAAAAAGAGAACACGTGCCTTTGTTTTTTTCCCTAAAAAAAAGATTTTTTGTCAAAATCTTTAGATTGAAGTAAGTTGAAAAATTTGGAAGAATAAGGTATTCCCCACATATTTACATGTACCGTGAACAAATTTGACATTTCATCTTGGAAAAGAAATAAAATTAATGCATGTAACAATGCGATCGTTTACGGAGGAATAGATCACACCGTAAAGCTATTATCAAGTCCAATTATAACATTTACCAGAACATACTCTATGTTGGTAAATATAATTTTGTATAGCCGTCATATTTTCATCGATATAGTTGCCAATCGTATAGATCTACTGCAGACAAGTATTCATCGTATAGACTACATGTAGTTTTAAACAAGCATTCTGATAGTATTGCATTAGCAATACTAGTCCCCTACCGGCAAGTGTAATCTGGTTCCCGTTAAGAATTGAAAATGCCATAATTCCGTCAAAAATCAATGGAGCGGGACGAAATGCAAACTTGATCTATAACTAATCAGAGTTAAGTCACATACCAAAAATCAGCTCAATATCTGAAAGCGTTAAGAAGAAAATTGCGGAAAACCCCTAAAAATTGAAAAGGCCGTAATTCCGTCAAAAATCAATGAAGCGGAACGGAATGCAAACTTGATCTGTAACTCATCAAGATACACACACATACCAAAAATCAGCTCAATATCTGCAAGCGTTTAGGAAAAAAGTGCGGAAAACCAAGTGGGACAGACTGACAGACAGACAGAGGGACAGACAGACAGACAAACAGACGGACGGACAGACAGACGGACGGTCAGACTCAGAGGAAACCTATAGTCCCCTCCGGTTTCACCGGTAGGGGACTAACAAGCATTCTGAGAGTATTGCTTTAGCAATACTAGTCCCCTACCGGCAAGTGTAATCTGGTTCCCGTTAACAATTGAAATAATGCCATAATTCCGTCAGAAATCAATGAAGCGGAACTAAAGGCAAACTTGATTTATAACTCACCAAGGTTAAGTCACATACCAAAAATCAGCTCAATATCTACAAGCGTTTAGAAAAAAATTGCGGAAAACCGAGAAAAATTGAAAAGGTCGTAATTCCGTCAAAAATCATTGAAGCGGAACGAAATGTAAACTTGATCTGTAACTCATCAAGAAACACTCACATACCAAAAATCAGCTCAATACCTGCAAGCGTTTAGGGAAAAAGTGCGGAAAACCAAGTGTGACACTGACAGACAAACAGCTAGATAGACGGACGGACAGACTCAGAGGAAACCTATAGTCCCCTCCGATTTCACCGAAAGGGGACTAATATTTTATCGACCTACTGCCTCTGCTATTCAACGATAAGGCCATATAATATTCTATATACGTATCTGTTGTTTTCTTTAATGAGAAAAATAGGATTTTATATATATTTTTCAAAAGTAACGTTACCCAAAATTCATTTTTATTTTGTTTTGAAACATATGACATTTTTTCTTGCATTATTATTTAAGCAAATGACCCATTGATTATAAATATATTCAATGATTTCTTGATAGTAAAAACTTAATAAAGGGGAGTAATCAAATATTGAATCCGCCTTTTGATTGGTTAGTTTGGATCTTGAATCTCGAATTTCGTATTTCGAAACTCGAATCTCGAATGAGCCGTCTGGGCTTTCGTAAATACCTCACTTAAGAAATATTCATTCTTAATTACCTACGACAGCTGTACAATTTCATGTATCGGTTCCTGAGAATTATTTGCATGCGAAAGATAACGTGGTCACTATATACTGATGTGTTTCAAACATCTGCCGAACCTGCATTTTGCCTCAGTTGCAGATTCATAGGTTACAACAACCCAAGTAGCAGGTTCTTATCTTCGGAAATAGCATATCACACATTGATTCTCCGCTAGCCAGCTCGGCCCGCCTACACGAGAGTTATTTGTATACATACATAAGGTAAGGCGATAAAAATATGCATGAAGGGTCTATATTGTGAAATTTTTTTGCATATTTATTGTTTCCGCCCAGCATAGCTCAGAGGAAAAATGCGAGGGACATGTTCAATTATAACTGGTATTTAAAGCAAATGTTTACACTTTACACCTTCACCCCTCCCCTTCAAAAAGTTATTTGATTTATTTACGCCATGAATTGTGTGCCCCCTATAAAACACTATTTTATTAAGCAGAAGAACTTATAGAAACAATTTTGAATATTCTCTGTTTTCAAAGATAATAGGTAGATATTAAAAATATAAATTAGTTATCAATTCAAAATCATATAAAAACTGAAGATATAAAATGTACGTATTCACAAGAAAGCCAATTTTACTGAAGAGAAAGAAAACTTAACTTCCTTCCTGAAATCCACGTCTAGTTCAAGACTTCGATTCTTGTCGAAAATGTGCAGACATGTAGGATCCAAGAGTGAAAGAATCTCTCTCTCTCTCTCTCTCTCTCTCTCTCTCTCTCTCAACTGCTGCAGGTAATTGTATGTATAATTGACTGCACTGTTTTTCCCTACTTTGATATGAACAACGACAAAATAATGAATGCCAATTTTTCTTAACTATGAATTAATGAACATCGAACTTTTTTCCCCTTTTTTTCAGTTAGTTATGTCAGTCCGGTATGATTCCTCCACGTCGTCAATAATCCCACAGGATAAATTCGTAAAGAAGCGTTCCTTGAACGATCGTATCGGGATCGGTTTCCTGGTTGTTACATTTGTAGCTATCATCCTGGGACTGGCCATTGGGATTCCACTCTCAAAACGAAGTACAGGCGGTGGTGGAACACCACGTTCCACTGAGCTCCAGAAAGCAATAGATTTACTGACCGAAAATCCATTAATCGACGGGTAAGTCGATTTTGTACTCATTTGCAGAAGTTTTGGAAACGATTAAATAAGGACTAAATTAGGACTTCTTTACGCAGGATGAGCAGGCAGTGTGAAGTACTTTCAGTAATTTAACCACGGTTACGAACCTTTTATTTCTCGATGTTCAGCAAATTATAGGTGTTCTCAGTAAATCTTGTGGGGCTATATAGAGACTTCTGCGAGACTGTCAAAGGATACGTAATTACTCACGGAAGTATAGCTAGAAAAAAAATGCTGTATTGACTGGTACTTGGGGACACAGTATTCAGTATATATATATATATATATATATATATATATATATATATATATATATATATATATATATATATATATATATATATATATATATATATAAAGCACTAAAAATGACCAACGACACGAACAATAATAATAATTATCAAATTTTTGGGACGACCTGTCCCTTCCTCAGGACCAAGAAAAAAGTTAAAAAGTCATAAAAACAAAGGAAATAGAGAAACAAAAACAACTAGCACTACTACTAAACTACCGAACACTAAATATTTACAGTGTTTCATGTTTAATTTGAAGTTTATAAACAGTTGTGAACAAAGATATTCGGAGCGCTATGAATTTCGTCCGGTCTATCGGTTGTACTCTGGTCAATATTATATAAATAGTGCACGTTTTTGAGGGTAACAGTTGAAATTGACACCCCAAGGAAAACCATTGTCAACCGACGCGTCAGCGGAGGTTGACAATGGTTTTCCGAGGGGTGTCAATTTCAACTGTTACCCTCAAAAACGTGCACTATTTATTTTATTATACTGAATGTCTTATTGATTTCGGATGTAATTAAAAAAAATTCGGAGATCGTCGTTAAGTTCACGCTTAGAAAGCTTTCAAACTCCCCGCTTTTATTTTTTCTCAATAAGAAAGCTTCGGAAAAGATTTACAAACCTCTTTATATGTTTGTTTGCTACTCAAAAAATCCTTTATCATCTAAAGTTTGCACTCGCAAGGATGTTTCGTTTGTCGTTCGTTGTTTTCAAGTACATGTAAGCTACACCGGACGCAAGCTTTTATTGACGTCGTTTATTCGGCTTCTTTCAAACGCACAACCGACGTTTTGAGAATTTTACGGTGAACTGTGCGCGCATGATTTGAACGCATGTGACATACGGATTGTTAAATGCGTCTAAACCAATCAGATTTTAGAATTTAACATGAAAGTATAATATATATATATATATATATATATATATATATATATATATATATATATATATATATATATATATATATATATATATATATATATATATATATATATATATATCGGGTGTACTGTGGTATATATATATTTCACTATAATACGTTTCAGTTTTAACCAATATACGATATCAATGGATTTGTGCCATTTCCTCTCTACAAAATACTTAAACATAGGTCATGTTTTCAGTTTCAGTTATAACATTTTTTGATTAATTTGTAGTTTATAAAACTTTATTGTTTGGGAAAATATGCATACATATAGTCATTGTAGTAGACAAAAGTTAACACAAAAAGGAGACGACTATAACGATATTCTGTTTAAAATTTACTGTCAAATGTCTTTGCTGAAACTAGTTCTTATCAATGCACCCTTTGAATTATCTGCAATAATGTAGCCGTCTCCGAATTTTTTTTTATGTGATGTTTTCAGGAGAGGGCTACAATTCCACAGGATCTCCGTAGTGGTGCAAATATATTTTTTGGATACGTGCGACTGCAGGCAAAAAAAAAATGCTTCTGAATTCAGCTTCCTTCCAATAAAACTGATCTTTTTAAAATTCACAATCAACCAAGCCATTTATACGCTTAAGCATTGAAAATAAAAAAGACGATTACATGTACAGTGTACTTATCTTCCTCAGCAGCCATGACAGTTCCCGCGTGATGTACTGAGACTTGCACTTGAAAATTTATAATTAGAAAGGCTTAATAAAGGAAAAATGATTGTGTTATATGGTATCACTAAACATCGATAAATTAAATCATTCCATATGAAATATTTTTCATAAATTGCGATATTCATGCTTAAATAAGGGAATTCATAAATAGACCGCTCATCGGCTGTCCAAAAAAAAAATCGATCAAGGTCTGTAAATATGGCGGATAGATTCAAGTTGTGATGTTAATAAACATAATGAATAACCGATATACTGTTTTGGATCAGTTCATCTCTTGCAGAACTACATTTTTGAGTTCTGGTAAGTAATATTAATAAAATAAATACTTACCTATAATTTGAGCCAAAATCTGTGCGGTCGTGAATCACTCCAGCACTCCAACATTACGGAGATGCTAAGGAGTTGAAACCCTCGCCCCATCCCCACCCACCCCAAAAAATGGAGAGTGCTACATTATTGTACCTACCTTTGCATAAGATTTGCATGGGGTGATAGCGATCTCGAACAAGGTTGAGGGTGATGATAAATGAAAATCATTCAATTTGTCTTAAGAGAATTGAAAAGTTCTTCAGAGATAAAATTAGGATGAATAGTAAATGGATACTTTTTCCTCAATTTAGACATAATGATTTGCCTTGGCAGTACAGACAATATGCCAATAATTCCGTGTATTCGGTAAACCTCGGACAGGACATGCGGAACACGTGGACTGAGACAATACCATTGGATGACACAAACTTTCCCAGAATTCCGCCGCAGACGGACATCGTGCGACTCAGAGAAGGAAAAGTTGGTGGACAGGTACATGTATTGAATTAACGGTCAGAAAATATCATGCCCAAAGAAATGTGTAAAATTTACACAAAAACAGTTATCGAAATTCCTAGGGAGTAGCAGCTAGCATTCGACAGGGTGGGCACCCCAAAAACTTCTTGTATATAATCAAATAATTTAATTTTGTTTGTATTCTAGCCTCTGATTGGTTAATATCCGAAAAGGAACACAAATTATTTCTGTATAACCGGGTTTGGTATGGGGCCACCCCCTCCCCCCCCGACAACCAACTGAATCATCTGTATCCATACAATCCTCTCATTTCCAGTCCTCGAAATACATGGAAAATTCCAGATTTAACAAATGTACCTTTAACTTCAAACAATAATTCGATCTTACCACATGTAAAGAAAAACAAACAACAACAACAAGGTTGCTAGGCCTATGTATCAGTTTTTACCTCCCCTCGCTTCACATCACTTCCGTTACTACGGTTGTATTATTGAGCGGCAAATTTGAAATAATAAAAAGCAACGAAATTTTACACCCATAGTTATTTAATAATTTTAAAATTAAATTATAAGGAATGACTCTAATTCTTGGCCACATTATTCGAGTATAACCTGGTTTGGGTCAGTTTACGCTGTTTTATAATCTGCAAAGCAGTCAAGTGTAGAAACAAGAAATTTTGCAATATCACATTGCAAAATTTCTTGTTTCTAAACTTGTCTAATTTATTTAAGTTAAATTAAATATTTAAGTTGGCCTTAATCTAAATTTTCTTTCAGAAAATAATTATACTAATTTTTTTTTTCCATTCAAAATAATGTTGTAGTTCTGGGCGGTTTTTGTTGCTTGTGCGTCTGTTGACAAGGATGGCACAAGACAGGGTCTTGACCAAACTGACGTCATTCTTAAGTTCACTGAGAAATACGAAGACTTCCAACTAGCCACCACAGCTCAAGGTAACACTTTAAAACATTTTTATAACTAATATAGTTAAGTCTTAGATTCCTTGCATTTGATTTATTTATGTAGGTATAACAGATGCATTTAAAGCTGGGAAGATTGCAAGTTTGATTGGTCTAGAGGGAGGTCACATGATTGGGAATAGCTTGGGAGTCCTGCGCATGTACTACAGACTTGGTGTTAGATACATGACCTTGACACACAGCTGCGATACTTTATGGTGATTATTTTGTATTTTACATTGATAATATTTCTATTTTTGCTGTGAATTTGTTATGTTGTTATTTTCCTTCGTCCATTAAGCTTTTATTAAGGGAAGTAATCTGTGAATGGCCTATCAATCATGTAGCAAAGGTGCATAATATGATGGAAAATTAAATTTATTGTTTTGATTTTATAGGGCGGAAAATTATAAGGCAGACACAAAGAACCCCCCACCGAACAAGGGATTGACAGACTTTGGAGAGGTATATGAAAGATGTGTAATATGCTAAACTAGTGTATTTGAAATTTTATTCTAAATGATGTGTCGAAAACTTATATAAACACGATTGAATGACAGGGCTGTTTTATTACGTGAAGTCAAAAATCATTAAAATCTTGTCTTCTTATTTCAGAAAGTCGTTAAAGAAATGAACCGTCTAGGAATGATTATAGATCTGTCACACACTTCTATCCAAACACAAAAGGACGCCATCAGAGTGTCACGTGCTCCCGTGATCTTCAGCCATTCGTCAGCTTACGCTCTGTGTAATCACTCGAGGAATGTGAATGACGAGGTCCTACAATTAACAGTGGGTATTTTGCGCACTTAATATATCAGCTTAGACTCCGCATACACAACCTCCGAAACCAAATCTGCATTTTGCAGAAAAAATATAAATCTGCTTTTTTTTTCAGGAAAAATAAAATTTGGCAATAAGCATCGATCCATGGAATAATATTACACGAATTATAACCCACCAATTGTGGCTTTCTAATCAAAAAGCAATTTATATTACTAATTTCCAGTAATAATTCTTTTGTTCCTACACACTAATCTTCAATGTGTTTATTTTGCAGAAAGGAAATAAGGGTCTCGTCATGATTAATTTTTACAGGGGATACATTGATTGTAGTGGCTCCAACAGTAGTATATCTGATATTGCTGGTAAGTAAAATTATATAGTTTTATATATATATATATATATATATATATATATATATATATATATATATATATATATATATATATATATATATATATATATATATATATATATATATATATATATATATATATGATTTGGGTTTTTGCTGCCTTATGTCAATAATACTATTAATTTTAACAGGTAGTTGGATAATAACCTCATTCTATCATAGCTGATAAAGTTTTTATCGTAAAATTAAAAGAAAAGGATGAGAGAGCAGTAGGACTACAATTAATCCCCTAGGATTGATTATCTTGTCTGTTGCAGAAAACTTAGAAGTTTATCCTTATCTATCACTTTAAGATTGATAAGCACCTTTGTCTGAAACTAATGTTTGTTTTTAAGTTAAGGTTAAGCCTCGTCTGGGTGATATTTGCATTCACTGAAGCCTGGCATTTTAATAAACCACATGCTTCATTCTTGATTAAATACACATTTAATTAATTGAGTTATAAAAAGATATGATGTTTTTTATGCTTGGGTAAATACAAGAGTACTATTTACAGGTTTTTGGATATTAAGGAATTATCTTGAATTTTTATAAATACAGTTACTGTCGCTTATTCTTCATGTATTTTTAAATTTTTGTAATCAAGTAATATTCTCATTCCATATACTGCGCCCTTATATTTCTACCCCTGGGTGGGTCCCTTGCTGACTAGTCAGTTTTCTAGTTTTATTTTGTCTTCATAAACAGAGATAAAATGTACTGGATTAATTCATTGTACGATATGCAACTGTATTGCATACAATTTCATGTATTCAACACCTCGCCACTGATATCCGCAATGAAAAATATTGCTTCCCTGTGACCCCAAATTCTATAGTCAAAATATGTCCATGTCCAGCCTTGCCGAGCTAAAATATCTACGAAAACATTTAAAATGAAATATGGAGATAACAAACAGTATTCAAGCTGAAAGTCCATTGAATAATACAAATCGGGAGCAGAGCAAACACGGACCTCTATAATATAAGAGGCGAGATCAGGTGCCATGGAGGAGTAAGCATCCCCTGTTGACCGGTCATACCCGCTGTGTGCTCTTTGTCATCAAGATGCGGGAGGGGGGGGGGGGGTATGATCAGTGTGCAAAATGGACAAAAGTGTTTTGCTCCACTGTATACATATTTTTTCTCTGTTGGACACATTGTTACACAGATGTGAAAAGTGATTAGATGTAACAATAATTTTTAAAAGTGAAATAAAGATTCTTCATCTGCGTGTCTGTTAAAAACTCGTGCTTATCCTATAACTGCCAGTACCCTTTGATTGGTGTTGATATAAACTTTTATATAAAAATGTATATGACTATGACTCAATGTTCATGCAATATCAACAAGCCATGGGATGCTAGATAGATTTTACATTATTTTACCAATCCTTAGTTAGGAAACTTTTCCCACTTATAATTTTTCCCATTACAGATCACATTGATTACGTAAAGAATTTGATTGGCGTTGACTACGTGGGAATTGGTGCGGATTACGATGGAGTGCCCACGTAAATATCGTTTTGAAAAGTAATTTATATCGTTAAAAAAAACAGATAAACAGATGCATTAATAAGAATATGTTGTACGTATAAAACATACGCAGACGGGATTTGTTTATAATTTGTAGTTTTGTTCTTGTTTTGGGGTGTTTGCTGAAGCAACAAAAACGTTTAGATTTAATCATTGTAATGATAGAAATTGATTTTCACAATACATAATTTTGACCAAGTATATAAATTCAGAAAATTCCTCGTTGGAATATTAGTACAATCTTTTGACAAAATGTTTTTCTGAAAGAATCTTTTTTCAACCTAATGTATGAATTAATTGAAAGTTACTGTAGTAAATATTTGTCGTATCATTCTCACTGCTCATTTTTATGGAAAAACAGAATTTTTTCCCAATTAAAAGGTTGCCTACTGGTGCTGAAGATGTATCAAAATTCCCATATGTATTTGAAGAACTAATCAAGAGACAGTGGTCAGACGCAGATCTTATCAAATTGGCCGGAGGAAACATTTTAAGAGTGTTCAGGGAAGTGGAGGCGGTAAGTTGATTGGATGACCCCCCACCCCCACCCCCCGCCCGCCCCCCACCCCCCCCAAAAGAGGTAAATTCTACGGGTACTCTAAAATAGTGATAAAAAATTCTCTATATCTGACTTTTTCAATTCTGCTGTCTGCTGGTTATTAGGTACAGTAGTAAATAAAGTAACCTTCTCCGATATATATTTTTGTCATCTGATTTTTATGGAGCTTTACAGTTCTACAGTATCTCTGTAATGATGCATATTATTTTTTTTGAACACTGAAGAGTGCAACCAAAATAAATTGCTTTTGCATTTAATTTCTTTTCAATAACATGATTTTTTTCACAATCAACAACCAAGCCCAAAGGGCTTGGTATAAATATATGATAAAGGAAGGCATTAAAACTGCGTGTTTACCAGTTATTTTCCTCAGCAGCCATGGCAGTTCTGGGCTGATGTATTGAGACTTGCCCATGAAAATTTAGAAAGGTTTGATAAAGATCTGGCATGATTAATGATTGTGTTATATGGTATCACTAAACATCAATAAATAAAAGCATTTCATGTAATATAATTTTCATGAATAGTGATATTTGTGCTTAAAATAAGTGAATTCCTATATAGATTGCGAATTCTCATTGGCTGTCTTAAAATAAATTTGATCAATGTAAGTAAACATGGCGGATAAATTCAAGTTGTGATGATGACATTCACGAAAAAGTAACCCATATATAGATTATTTTGTATATTTTGGACAAATTTATGTCTTGTATAGCTACATGTTTGAGTTCAGGCTAGAAATTTTAATAAAAAGCCACTTACTGATAAATTGAGGGAAAATTTGAGCGGAGTGAATTAAGGAGACCCTACAGAGTTGTTGCCCTTTCCAAAAAAAAAATGGAGAGGGCTATATATTGGGTAAAACCTTTCTTTATAGAAAAACACACTCCTACACTAGAAATCATTTTCCATAAAAAAAGTATTCATTTTTGCTTATCAACATATTTCTGTGGTAAGGAAGTCATCACCAGCACCAAATAAAATGACAGTTGGACAGATGTCTTTACTCAAATTTACCAAGCTTCGACTGTTTTTTTTTTTCCTAATCTATCTACGTAGACCATAAATTTGAAGAAAAAAATATATCGGCAATTTTAAACAAAACATATTCTGATATCAAAGTAAGGGGATAAAAGATTTGGTTTTGTTATAGGTCAAAAGCAGTCTGTCTAACGAGGATCCTATTGAGGATATTTTTGATAAGAATCTGAGAAACCAAAACTGTACCACAGGATACTGAAGGAAACAATGAAAATCATCAAGTTTGAAATCAAAGATATGTAAAAAAAAAAAAAGCTCGAAACAAGTTATACAGAATTTTCGCTTATATAAAGTGATTTATAAATTGAGCCTGACAGTATAGTTCATGTATCATCTATCTTCACAATTTCTCCAATTCTTTTTACGGCCATGGTAAAAAAGATTATTAATAGTATTTCTGTTTTTCCTCAACCGTTATCTTTTATATATGTTCTTTTAAATTCAAACGATTACTGGGTTGTCAAGAAAGTGATTGAAAGAAATTTATTAAATGAAAACTAAAGTGTAAAAATAATAATAATGCAAATGAACAGTAATTTAAATTTCTGAACTGAATTTCTACATGTAACATCTTTTAAGTCATTTATGTTTAGTAATTAATGTTTGTTTGTCGATGTTTGTTGATATGTGTTGTATTTTGTCTAAATATCTTAGAAATAAACTTAAGTCCCAGTTACTCTTTAATCAGGATCTACTTTTAAAATGAATGTATGTTATTGTCAGCTATTCTGCAACATATATTATATGTATGTAATTGCATATATATTGTTTATAAGGTTTATGAATATTGGCGCTTGTTTTAGTTTTGATTATCATAGGTTTATGATGTTATATATTTTTAATTCATTTTCACTGTTACAGTAGCATTTCTTTATTGAACAAACATCAGTAGCACATGTAGAGCTTACTTAGTTACATGTATCACAATATTTTTTAAAATAAACTCACGATGAAGTTGAGAAATTAAATAAAAAAATTAATAAATTAATTTAAAAAATAAATTAATTTTAAAAAGAGTAAAGGTAAAGTTTTGATCTATAATTCTGTATAATTTCAATAGTATACAGCACACTAGTATTTCCTATATTTTATCTGTTATTATAAATTATCCTAAATATAATACGTATTGTACGTAAAGAGAAATGTTAATCTCGGTGTTTGAATGTTCTTACCAATTTCTTCTTGAAAGACTAACATTAACAGTATGTTGCATCACAAAGTCAATCTGAAAAGTAAATTGATCCGAATGTTTGAGCTAGCTTGAAATACCTCTTATGACCAATATAACAGTACTATTATTTAATAAGAAACAAGTGGAGTTTCTTATGTGAATGATGCATTAACCTCATGAGGACATGTGATCATAAATGTCCTCCACTCAGATATTGAGTCTAAGGATTAAGCCACGCCTATTTATATCACGTGATCTCATTTTTGGATATATTTTAATGTCACACTTTTACTCATACCTCGCTAGACATTAAAAAATGTAAATATTTTGCAATTATTTTTTTCTTATTGTGTTATGTCAATATATTGTACGCAGGAAAAATATACTCTAGAATAAACAGTGACACAGATACACGTGTATTTTTGTTATTTACTAAAGGAAACTTTAAGCTGAACATCAAAGAAACCACAATTTCTGTGGAATCATGACCCATCTGAGCCATATGAGAAACCTTCCCCTGAAGAAGAAGTAGAACATACTCCAGTGCATTGTTGAATAACACATGATTGTGATGCATCTAAAACGATGGAACTGAAAGACTGTTTACTTTCTTATTAGTGTATCCGCAAATCCGTGCAATTTTGTCCCAGCTGAAGTTTTCACGTTAGAGTGACTGGAACAAGATATTACTAGCTTTCAAGCATTAGCAAATTAAAACGCTTGTTTTTAGCTCCCTGAACTGAAAGCTCAAGTGAGATTTTCTGATCGTTGTCCGGGGTGCATCTGTCTATCTCCGTCTGTCTAGCTGTCCGTCCGTCTGTAAACTTTTCAGTTTTCGATTCCTTGAGAACCACTGAGATACATTTAACATGGTTGGTACAAGGCAACTTTGGGTAAAAGAAATTCTAAATTGTTCAAACGAAGGGCCAAACCCCTTTTCATGAAGAGAAAATCAAGAAAAAGCAAAAATGGGGTGGAGTAATTTAAAAAAAAAATCTTCTGAAGAAGAACCACAGGACCAGAAAAAGTTAAGTTTTTGTGAAAGCTTCCTATTGTACTGCAGATTCTAAATTGATCAAATGGTCCCTGAAGGTAGGATGGGGCCACAATAGGACATCAAATTTGTACTTTGAAATATATTGGAGTAATCCTCTCAAGCACCACTGTGTCAAAAAAGACGAAACTTGAGTGAAAGCTTCCAGATATAATGAAGAATCCCAATTGTTCAAATCATGGCCTCCAGTCGTTTAATGGGGAAACAAAAGGGACATCAATGTTTAAATTTGAATATATATCTTATTGGAAAATTTCTTCAAAATCATCTCAAGAGCCATCTCAAGAAATGAAGTTTATATGTAAGCTTCCTGACAAAGTGTAGATTCTAATTTGTTCCAATTATGAACCTTGGGGAAGGGAGGGGCCCCAATCTAGGAATAAAGTTTTACATGGGAATAAATAAGAAATTTAAAAATATCATCTCAAAACATCTTATCCTTAAAAGATGAAACTTATATTGCGAAGGCTTCTTGATAAAGATTGATTCTAAATTCTTTAAATCATGGTCCCAATGGGTAGAATAAAACACATTCGGGGAACAAAGTTTCACATTGGAATATATAAATAGGGAGCAAAGACCCAATATACCTTAAAAATATACTTTTATGACATAACATTCGCATCTTTACGAAAAATACTCGAAGTCCATTAAGTCAAGGGTCATATCACACACATGATGTAGTCTATAGTTAGTGGTTAGCGTGCAAGTCTCGAAAGAAATTGATATTCAGAATTTTTATTGCTAGGGTTCGAACCCCACGAAAACCATATTATTTTTTAATAAAAGAATAAAGTTTGCCTAGAAAATATTCCTCAGAAAAGTATTGTTTATCATAATTTCGTAAATTTCAATAATATGAACTTTACTTTAAATATTAAATTCACAAATTGAACAAGTCATGATTTTTATATTCAGTGTATCTGAAGCTATAGGCTTTCTGCAAGCTATGTTCGCTCCTTTGGTGAAAATATTTCATATTGATTGATTGATTAATATTGTATGTTGTTTTACGTCCATTCGAGAATTTTTCACTCATATAGAGACGTCACCATATACCGGTGAATGGCTTCAAATTTTGACCTTTACTCGGCACTCAGGGCCATTGAGCAGTGAGGGATCTTTATTGTGCCAACGCCTGCCTCAGTTTTTAAGGTCTCATCCGAAGGACCCACAACTGTCACTTCAAAGTGCCGAGCGCATGGCGAAGGAACAGTTGCTACCTTTTTTTTTTTATCGACTTAGGTCAGTCGCTGCCGAGATTCGAACTCACGACCTCCCGATCACGAAGCGAGCGTTTTTCATGATGAAGGATTTCCTCTCCATAACTACAAGGCCATGTTAGTTATATGGGTGAATTCAAAAAAAATGACCAAATGCATATTTATCAACCCACACTAAAAATACAGGCAATGAAAATAGATTTCTATGTCTCAGCATATGTCTTTAGATAGTGTCTAAATACCTGCCAAATATCTTGTTGATATCTCAATTAACAAAAAGGTTATGCCCAAAAATGATGCTAAAATTGTCAGGAGTGCAACACCTTTTTGTGACATTTTGAAATTTCAGTATTTTTTGGAGATCTGTGAAATAAAAAATAATGCTTCATGTTGAAAATAAAGACTTTCCTGATAATATTCAAAGTATTGAGCTTTAAATGTGGACTGTCATAACTTTTGTTTAATCAAGTTGTGGTCATGGCTGATGTTTAAAAAAATGTTATACCATGTCAGGAGTGCAACAGAAAAAATGTAGTGTTGCCAAAAAAACATCAATTGTAAAATTATGATAGAAAATTAAGACAAAAAAGAATTTTGGAAGTGTAAAATAATAACTGATATACATTTAAAAACTTAAAAATGTTATATAAATCACAAGCAGCATTAATGAGAGTCAAGTATATGTGCATACCCCAAAATGTCAGGAGTGCAACATTTGATGTTTTGCTCCCAAGCATGAAAAAACTATTATCATTATATGATTTTCTGATTTTTATTTTGGAAAATAAAGACACAAAGAACATTTTTACCAAATAGATTTATCAATTACAGGATCTGTCTGTGCTTCAGATCCATATTTCTATGGTCAGGAGTGCAACACATTTTTTAAAAGATTCAAGTTGTGTGACGAAAAGACTTCTATTCATGCTTAGAAGTATTCATTAATTAATAAGGATCTTTTTGTATAATTTAATGCTAAATTATTGACAGTTTTATTATTAAAATCCTTCCTTTTTCCAATTTAACAATTCAGATGTGTTTTTATCTTTTTGTGATTTTTTTAATGAACGTTAAAAATAAACACACTAAAACATTGTCATAAAATTCAAGTAATTCCTCTTCAACTTCACTGAAACAACAGAACAAGTTCTTATGTAATTTTCAGTTCACAATTCTACTTTAAAGGCCCCAATGCTTTTGGTCAGGAGTGCAACAAATATGTTAGAATTATAAATCATCCACTAAGAATAAAAATAAAGAAAAAATGACGAGTAGAATGTCTCTGGTGGGTTACTGTGTTTGTCTTCTAAAGGAAAATATGCTTTAAAATATATTTTATCTTCTAAATATACATTTAAGCTAGTTTTTGGGCATAAAATAGGGTATAATTCCAGATAAAATGCGAATTTTAAATACTTTCATCTGTTTTAATTATGAAGTATTGAACTATAAGTATTGCACAATTTCATTACCACTTGATGTTGCCAACACTTTATGAATTTTTGTGTTCTATGGTTTTAATTTTAAACTTTACTGCAGTCAGGAGTGCAACAAAACTGCTTCATAATTACCGATGCTTTTTAATTATCTTTACTAAAAAATAAGTTGAAAAAAAAAATGCTTGATACTATTTGATGTTCAAAACACTATGTCTATCAACAAATTACAGAAATTTTACAGTCAATTCAGGGAATAGTTTTCCTCATTTCACATATATTTTAAATACATTTTATATATATTACACTTTGCAAATAATCATGTTTTAAGGTCTTCAACATATGAAAAACCTGCTGTAAACGATGAAAAATATTGACACGGCAAATTGATTTACAAAGTAAGAATGAGTTATTGTGTGTTATAATTTTTAAAACAATGTTAAATAAAATACATATCAGATGTCAGGAGTGCAACACAATAATGTAACATAGGGTCACTTCAAAATCTAGTATTTTTTGTAAGAGAACTCGTATAAAACAATTCTTTTTTGGCTTTGATTTAAAGAATTGACTTGAACGGACAAAAAAGTGAATTTTGGGGAATTCTATTGCTTCATATTTTTTTCATATTAAAACTTTTCAAACCAGAATTAAAAAAATATTGTAAAATAACAATCAAAAAGCCAATTTTTTTGTCACATGTACAAGAGAAGATACTCATTCAAGGTCTAGATTTAATCATTTATACCCCTTTTACCATTTTGAAGCATAAAAAACTATAATTTCTTGTGATTATGTATTTTAGAAAGTCTTTTAAGGTGTAATGATAATTTCTTTTTTCAAAAGAAATTTTTCTAATAAAAATTCTGAAACTTTTTAATCCAATTGTCTATTCTATTGCCACTTCAGGATTTTAAACTAGAATGCATTTGCAATATGATGATATAAGTGAAAAATATGTTACAAGTAGTTGAATTTTGCCAAAAAAATTCAGTTTGGTGGTCATTTTTTTGAATTCACCCATATTCAAATTGAAGCATCCCCAGGATGTGTTGAATCAGACACCTCCATTGAGTCATAATATAGAACCACAGTTTTTCATAAGAATATAAACAAGAAAATTCTTTTATTTTTTTTTTAAATAGCAGGGCTTAAGTTGTTTAGGTGAGCGTTGTGTTCCATAGGCTCTTTTTTTATATGTGTTTTGCAATAACTTTATAACACAAACACTTTCATTATTTACGAAGATGTTACTATAAAAAAATGAAAGGCCAAAGGCACCAAAGAATGCAGTAGTATTATCAACTCACATGCCTCTCGCAAGGAAATAATCACCATATCTAACATAAATGTTTCTACTTCAGAAAACACATGGGTTTCTACTTCAGAAAACACATGGGTATTATATGTAACTTAACTTCCTTTATTAAGTAAAATCATAACCGTTTTTTAACTCCCTTTTTAAATAAGCTGATTTTAACACTGATTATGTTCTATCTCATGGTGGATGATCTTTGATAGTAAAATAACATATTTATGCCTTAAAAGTTGTCTTTATGCGTCACAGGGAACTTCCTGAGAAATAACACTTTAGAAATAACATAATTTGGTCGGTTTTACTACTGAACATATTTGCTTATAGATTGAAATTCTTCAAGAGGTTATCATTTTGTTTACGTTCTATGCTTTTTAAGATTT